CCCCCCCCCCCCCCCCACCCCCTTCACCAAACCACCAACCCTCCTCCCCATGACAACGTCTCCGCAACCAGGTGTAAATAAATTACAATAAAAACAAATAATATCAGGGGAGGATCCAGGGTAGGGGTGCAGGGGATGCGCATGCCCCTCCCTGGTTACACTGTGCCCCTACTTCGAAGATAACCAATTTTGGTTTTTTTATAGCCTAGCTGAGTAGCTCATCCATTTAAAATGCAGCATTGATGATAAACCGCTAGTTGGATTTGACTAATAAGTGTTATTTTAAAACAAGGATGGTTTATTTCAGTTTTTTTAAAAAGTCTTGACTTTAAAATCTAGACAGGCCATCTACCTTATTGAGTCTAGTTACATTTGTAAGTAACTCAGTGGTGTTTCTGCAGTTTGGTAGTTTGTGCTCCATTCAGCATACTTTGTGTCTTGCCAAACAGAATTGACCCAGCAATAAGTTATAAGTGCAGTGCTCTCTCAGATGTTTTTCCGTGACGATTCCCAGAATTCCTGCAGCAACCCGACCCAGTGAAAGTCCAACCTCTACAAAACCCATTGCTGTGCCATTATCCTTTGGACAAGGAAATGACGTCGCTGCATCCATCAAAGAATAAATCAGAGATAACCCGTATACAACACCCTGGGTAAAACTTAACACCAACACAGGTATGACGCTAGGGAGGAAACGAAACCATGATGCGAAAATGAAGAAAAGGAAATGGCTAACATTCAGCAAAACTAGAAGCCATATCTTACGGATCCTTAAGACATCGATCCATTCTGGGCATAAATACGAGACTAGAAGACTTGCACCGCCCGCCCAAATTCCAGTATCACTCAAGAGCCTGTAGTACAAAAAGTGGTCACGAGGCTGAAATGGCGAAGAGGGGAACGTGAGGGTTGTCAGGACAGCGACCATTGACAAATGTAGGCAAAAATTGGACAAAAAGGTGTACGAGACGAAGGGAAATACTTTGAACAGAAACTCTAGTTTTTGTGTTAAGATTGATGTTGAAGTTGCTGTAGGCTTGTAGGAATGTTCAACAGTAAAATCTACTTCCAAGGGTTGGTATTGGCTTGTACTAAGGTGATCTTTCAAGGGAGTTTTGTCTAACAAAGCGTAAACAACAAGCGGGAAGAAACATATCGGGATGCAAGAAGCTATAGCGATACGTGGGTTAACACGCAGCCAGGTTGTTAATCCTGCAATTTGGAGGGAAAATATCAATAAAAATGGATAAATTGCTTATAATATAAAGTGAAGTAATTCCCCAGTCCCTATTTATACATGGACTTGCGGCTGCTAGAGGCCCTTTCTTATTCCGGTTCAGTTCGTCCCCGTTAAGCTGCGCCACTATACTAACCTTTGCGCTGACGATTAGCGATAACAATATTTTGGTATTATGAAGGAATGACCCCTGGTTTCCCAAGGAGCGAAATCTTTCAATCTCTCCCCATTTCAAACTATCGTACATTGAATCAAAATTGTTTCATGTCTTTTTTCTAAGCTCTTTTTTGATCTACAGCCGTGATTGGCATTACCGTCATTTGCATTGCTACGCGGCCACCCCAGACAAAAATCGCGACGTGCACTTTGCAATAGACTGCCGTCAATCAAACACGTTGTCGTCATTTACACGCATGTGATTCAAAAGGCGCCAAAACTTGTCGATTGTTTACAAGTATTATGAGCCACACTCACCGGGCCTACCGGGCCGATCCAAACGCGTGTAAATGAGTCGACCTGTTTGATTGACGGCAGTCTATTGCAAAGTGCACGTTGCGATTTTTGTCTGGGGTGGCCGCGTAGCAATGCAAAATGGCGGTAATTTCAGCTAGATATCCGCTTTGGAGTAAAAATAGACTTGGCGCGAAGGAAACAAGAAGTTGAGCGAGGCTGCTATTCTCGTTTCCAGGGCGGGAGGAGAGATTCTCTCCAGCACTGCTCGCTTCCTTCGCGCCATTTCCCTCGGAAAGTGCACTATTTGAATCCAAGTTGGCAAAGGAAAACAATTGCAGCAAGTCTGGGTAAAAACTGATTTAATTTTCTACATGACTACCGGACCGTCAATTGTGCAGGACAAATGACTCTAAAATTTTCATAAATAAAATGCAATGAATTTTGGGCCTGAGATTTAGACCGACATATACGTACCCATGTATCCAATTGACGTCAAAAATGTCGAAAAGTTGATACCATATTGATAGGCAGAAGCGAGAAGTTCCGCTTTTTCGTAATAGGCAAGCATCCTCACGCAGGCGATTCTATTAAAACCATTAGAAAGACCAAGAAGCCCAACTCCAACGATTCTGACACGAATATCATCAACAGCCACTATCAGAACAACCGATCCACTCAGTAATGCAGTGAGGAAAACAAACGAAGAAGTAAAATATATTCTCCTCACGATTGAAGGACTGAGGCATTTGCTTAACATATCTGCAAATGAGAAAGAAATGAGAATAACGGTTGACGACAAAAGGACCCCGCACAGAATGTCTTCGACAGCTATCCATGTTATGACCATTGGAGGAATTGTCGTCCAAACTCCCAGTAAAAGGAAATAAAATATCGTACAGGTCTTCATTTGTTTATCGCGATCGGCACTCCTTAATGACACTCGGTGCGAAGAAGGGAGAGACTACTTACTAAGCAGTTGATGTTATGTCTTCATAAAAAAACAATAAATTAGCTGATTGTTTTCAGACTGATAAATGGTTAACCCGATGATCCGTGAAACACGTTTTAAGAGACAAGAGATATTTTGTGATTAATTCACTGAGGTCAAATGAATGAACATTTTGATTCCAATGGGTGAAATTTACTGGAGAGCAAACAAACTTTCTATACAACCTGTTTTGAGAGATCGTAATAAGACTGCATTTCGTAGCACTGCATTTCGTAGCATAATCCATGACCATGCCAGAATTAAGCATAGTTGAAACTAATGCTTATATATGAATATATCGTAAATGTATAGAAAAGATTACAAGGAACATTTCTAACATAAAACTCTCAAGAATAATCCTAAAATAACTGAGCAAAGGGGTAGAAAACTGTGTAGGGCGTAACCAGATGTACAAATGCTAATGGAAGGAGCTAAGGGGTTCGCTTGTAAATGCATACCAATATCTAAACTTGTGCGTGATGGTTAGAGCGTACGCACTAAACCTGTGAATAATATTTAGTACTAATTAGTAGTATTTCATAGAGCCGTGACCACAGTAAATCCGTGAAACACTAATTACTAAATAGTACAAAATAGTGCTAGTTAAACAATAGAAAACAATGGAATTTGCATGAAATTGTGCTATTTAGTATTACTAAAAGTTTCACGGATTTACTGTGATCACTCTACAGAATCCTTTGTGTCCTATTGTTTGATTATCACTATTTTGTACTAAAAATTAGTATTTGTTTCACGGGTTTAGTGCGAGCACTCTAGCTGGGTTGAAAAATGATATCGATATTTTTACAAGCTAAATGACTAAAGATTGATAATTTTTATCTTGTTTCCTTGAGATAAGCATTGGTAATTAAGAAAACCGATGTCTTGTTTCCATAAGAGAAGTAATTTGGAGACTGATGATAGTCTCACTTTGTTTAGTCTGTAAAAACATTCATTTTCTCTCTCATGACACGTATTAATCACCTAGAGCATTAGCTGTATAGATATCTGCATAGAATAGGGTTTTCCGATTTAGTGACCTTTTCGTCGATTTGGCAATATCTTTATTGCCATGCATTGTCTTTTTTTCTAAGTATT